AAAAAGAAAAGAGTTAGTTACCTTACAGTGGCTAATTACTAGCCCAAGTTACACACATTAGTATAAATGTTTTTACATTTCTGTAGGGGGAATAACGTGAGTGAGTATATATTATACGTAGGATTAGACATAGGTAATGTATATCGACGATTGGGTAAAAGACAGAGCCAACTCAGATACTTGGTGAAAAAGGAGCCAACTCAGGTTCGGGTTGAAGAAGCAGCCAACTCGTTCGTTCGTTCGGTATACCTATATAAACGAACAAAGATTTTCCATTAATCCAATGGTTCAGAAAAATAATTTATGTTATTGTAATAGAGTGTACTACACTTATTAAATTATGTGCTTTTTATACGTTATTTTTTTTATCTGTTCTTATGTTTGCCCCTCAAATCTGATTTAATAATACCATGGTCATCCTTTATTTTATTTTCAAAATTGTTCAAATCATATCGTGCTAAACATCTAAAACAAACGTACGTAAACAAAAGTATTGCAAGTAAGAGAAATTAAAATTACTCCAGATTCTACAATTTACTTTACATACGATTTTGATGGACGATTCCAAACTACGTCTCTGAATTCACACACTTGTAAATCATGCACTAAACAAAGCATACAATACAAAAATTCAATTAAATAATTTAAAAAAAAGATCTTAGAGATATGTGCCAGAGTGGTGTCATCCCACAAGAATATCACAGTTTTTATGAAAATATTATGAAGTAGCGCGCCGCATTGACATACATTTAGTGTATTAATAGTAGAGAACAATTAAAGATTACAATAACTGTTCATGCTACAGTTCACAAAAAAAAAACATTTGTATAGTTAACACAAATTTTTTTTATTTAACATGACGTTTGAAAATAAAAAAGTATTTAAAAATTTTTTGAAGAACATTTAAAATGATTTACTTCCACAGTCTGATCATAGAATTACATCTAATCGCAGCAGACTTGTAAAGTACATAATTTAATAAGTGTAGTACACTCTATTACAGTAATATAAATTATTTTTCTGAACCATTGGATTAATGGAAAATCTTTGTTCGTTTATATAGGTATACCTATATTGTGAATTTCAGTGCTACCACGACAAAACTTGATGAAAAAAAATTACTCCCGAGTTGGCTGCTTCTTCAACCCGAACCTGAGTTGGCTCCTTTTTTAACCCAAATTTCGAGTTGGCTCCTTTTTCACCAAGTATCTGAGTTGGCTCTGTCTTTTACCCAACCGTCGATATGTGTAAGGGTCGCAGGATATTACTTTACGAAATAAGTTTGTGCAGGGATCGGCAAAAAAAATATATGTATAGGGGTTAATAACATAATTACTGCGAGGTAAAATTAGTACGTGACTATACATGTGAATAAAAAATAACGAAAACTTTTGATTTTCATAGAAAAAAAAAAAAAAATTGCATGTAAAAGAAACTATGCGGCACCTGATACTGCGGATTGTTACCAACTACCGAACGGCCTCTGTTTACCGGGACTCGTATACTGCAGATGCATTATTTATACACGAAGGGTGTGGGTTGCATAAAAATGAGGAAAATTCAAAACAACAAATAGTAAATGTTAATTTTTTAAGTAATTTATGTGAGAAAAGCTGCACAACCGTGTCTAAAAATTTCTTTCATCTCCGTTTATTCTGTTTGAAAGTTAAGATTGTTGCTTTTTTTTCATGTACCTCTCTTACCAATTTTTCCGTTTGCAAAGTAACTTTGGAAAATAAAGTTTTAAGATAAACACTACAAGTATACGCAAAATTGCATTTTTTAAATTTAATTTTCAATATATTTAGACTCATCAATTGCAATTTTCTTTGTTTATTGCTAAATAATACACCTTGCTGGAATTAAAAAAAAAAAAAACTTTGTACGATTTATATTATTGAAAATAATAAACTTCGTATTTATTTGAGAACCCGCAGTTATTAGGTACTTTTTACCCTTATATGTATATATATATATATATTTATGTATTTTACCAATGAATTTCCAACTATTTTTTTATGCAATTCTGTAACATTCCTTTTTACCTTGAATAAAGTTTTGTTTGGATGTAATTCCAACCTTGCTCCTTGAAGTTTATTAACATGTATGTCTATAATTAAAAATTAACAATGGCAATGAAGGACTGCAAAAGAGACAACGGCTGATTCAAAAAAAAGGTACAGTTTTTATTAAAATTATCATTAATTTTTAAATGTATAATAAATATCGAGAGCCGAGTGGCTTAAAGCTTAACGCTTACAAAAAATTTTACTTTTTGTGCGACGTGCTCGATGGATGCGCCATTAACGTTTACTACATTTTTTCAACATTTGAATTTTGCATTGTGTGATTTGAATAAGTTACAGGTACAAATTGACCCATTTCATTATTTACTAACAAACTAGTAATAATAGTAATAATAATGTTCATCCGACAAAAAGATTTGTACTTGCTATTAATAACAGGAAAAGAGCTACACGTAAAACTAGAACAATTTACGATTAATACTTCGTTGATCGATTACTTTTTCTACTAGTAATTACTTATAAAACTAAACTTCTTTCGACTCGTCATCTCGCTCAAGTCGACAAACAAACAGCATTTTATTGTATGTACAAGCGAAATTTTGAGTTTCAAGTTTTTCTATTAGAAAAAAAATATATGTTTATATTATTTATTCGTACGATTTTTATCTTTGGAAGGAAAGAGAGCACGTTTTTGTTTGTTTTGGCAGTGATTCGAGTTGTTTTTTTTTTTTTTTTTTTTACTCATTCTCGAATCGCATGTAGAGCAGCTCGATAATTCAGGCTACATTAGCTTTGTTTGTAAAATTACCGTGCTTTGATTATCAAACAAAAATTTAGATCTACGGCTTAACGCGTGTACATAAGTCAATCAGACTGATACAACTAATCAGCTAATTAATACAATCTTACGAAATAATGGAAATCTATAAATATAATTTTACAAAAGTGAGAGATTGTTGAGTAAGCTTAATACTAGCTTTTTTCGGTAAAAAAAAAAAAAATTGTCTTTTGTTTATCAGAATCTCTTTTGGAATGGAAGAATAAAGTACTTTTGGCAAGAGTTTACGAAAATTTTACATCAAAATATTGGGGGAGACAAGCTGTATTTTTTTTAATCAATTGGGTTTTAATTTAAAAAATGAATACTAACTACAAATTTTTTTTCCTCATAGATTGGAAAAAAAACTAACATCAATTTAACTTATTTTTTTACATAAATGAAATACTTTTAATGGTCATTTGGAAACTACACATAAGTAAAATATTTACGATCTCAGTCTAACAAAATTACTAAAAAATAATTATTATCAAGTGTAGCCTACAGGCTTAGCTAGTTAAAAGACTCGATGAAAAAATCTCAATTAACGGCTTAGAAAAGAAAAGATCAAAGAAAAATTGCTTATAAAAAGGTTACAAACGAGATGTTTCACGTCAACCGGGAATCAGAAATTTTATGAAATTTTACTGACCCTGACTTTAACGTTTAACAATTGATTAATTAAACCTTAACCTTTCTGCAAAAAAAAAAAAAAAATTTCTTTGGCCTATTATTTTCACTTTCTATATCAACAATTATTTTTTGCATATTAAATTTAATACACAATCATATAGTTTAAGATAAAAAAAACTTCCGGCTCCCTGTACAAGAATATATATTAGATTTAAAAGCTATTTACAATAAGTAGTAAAAAAAAAAAATAAATAAATAAAAGAAAGAAAGAAAAGTCTTGGAAATGCTCAGCGCTATTAACGCAGATCGAGATCCTTATTTGCGACGGCTTTGTAAATTTTATCACAATGCAACAATCATTACACAAATATACATTTATATAAATCGATATGATCGACACACGCGTTTGTCTTGTTCGCTCGTACGATCGTTATGTACAATCGAACGTTTTCTTACATTGGAATGTTATAAGAGAATGATTCGCGACAGTGGCAACGAGAAGCCGTGAAAAATCGTCAAGACGATGCGTTTGAAAAATTCATTAAAAAAACGTCCCAGTCCTTTGTCAATGCGGTCCGCGCGCGACTGGTAAAACTTTATTTAAAACATTTGTACCTTCGAGTGTCCCTCGTCAGAGTTACAATTTCAGGGACTCGTGAGATCCTGTAGAGTACCAAGAATGTTGTCGAGCTCCTGGCGGAAGTAACAAAGTTTCTGAGCGTCTTTATCCCCGACGCTTACGGTATTCTTACAGTCCCTGCAGCCTTGACTCCGGCTACGAAGCAAATCTCTTACAAGCTTTTGTAAACTGAGCTCACGAGTCTCGTGTCGCTGCTGGAGTATCGATATCTTATCCTGCAGCAGTTGCAGCTGTTGTGAGCTCTGTAGGATTTTATTATTATTGTGAATATTTTTCAGACGCTGTCAAACGGTACGTATTTTCAAATTTATATTATATGGTAAAAAAAAACTACTCACGGGAGTCGAGAGATATTGTACTTTGTCATTGAGCTGTCTGTTCTTGCTTTCCAGGTGGTCTCTTTCTGCTTTCAAAATAATAATTTGTTCCTTGTAATCTTGCAATTTTTCTATTTGCTGCTTCAAATGAGATATCATGGCCATTTGTGAATTGACTTGACCCTTCAATGATAGAAAAATTATCAATTGTAAGGAAAAATAAATGTTTAAGAAATCTTTACTGAAAATATAAACGTACCTGTAATTTAAGAGCTTTGGTGTCTCCTAGGTTAATATTATACTCTTTGACGATAAGATCGATCTCTTTTTCATGTTCTTCTTGTAGTAGATTCAAATCTTGCAACCTTTTGTTTTTCAGTGCCATAAAATCTTTATTCAGCCTACTCACCTCCTCTTTAAGCACTTCATTTTCAGTCGTTAATTTCTTGACTTTGTTATTCGTATCGACATTATCAGAAATTTGCGTCTGATCGTACAACTTCTGCATGGACGATGATCTCTTTCCATTAGCCAAGGGGCCGTTGTGGTAAAAATTCGAATTCGAATCGCCTTCCACCATCTTCAAGCTCGTAAGTTTCGAGTCGGACGATGTCATGATTTTGTTCGCCTTCTCCAGAGTTTTGCGCTCGTTTAGCAATTTTTCTCGCTCCTTCTGCAACTTCCGGTTCGTCTTTTGCATCTCTTGAAGGTCTTTGTTCACTTTTGCAATGATTTTGTCCTTGTTGGTAAGTTCAATCTTCAAGCCTCGAATGGTGGCAATTAGATGAATGTCCTCTTTAAGATTCTGCGACTTTAGACCAATCCTGTTACCATTCAATTTTTCGGACAAATTCGGCTCGGAGTTTCTACTTTCCAAGTTTTGATGCATCGTTTGCGTGCCAGCCTCGCTGTATGCTTTCTTATCCCTGGGGGACGTTTTCATCTTTTGCTCCAGTTCCAAGACCTGCGTCGAGTACTTGTCCTTCATGTCTGTAAACTTTTTTTGTATGTCCAACAGTTTGGCTTGCGCCACGTCCTCTTTACTCCTTATTTCACATTCCAAGAAGGCGATTCGGTCCTCTAGGAATTTTACTTTCTCGACATTGAGCTTTTCATTTTCAGAGTTGGCGGTGAGAATCAATGCTGATACAGAGTCTGGATTTTTTCGCTTGAGAATGCGCTCCATTTCGCGTACTTGTCGGTTCAGATCCATGATGTTTTTGTTGTCCAAAATCACCTGATCCTTTAGCTTTTGCGTCAATTGCTTCTCGCGTTCGCAATTATTTTTCGCAACCTGTGAATTTAAAAATTATGTTAATTTTTTCACGCGTTCGACGAAAAAACAAATGAAAAAAAAAAAAAAAATTTTTTTCACCTGTAATTTTTCTTGGTAAAGCGTACACTTTGATCTCAAGTCCACAAGCTCCCTCTCCAAAGGCTCCACGCTCTGCTGAAACCTATCGTAATCAACTTTGATTAACTTTAGCTGTTCAGTCTTTGAATGTAGATCCACTTTAAGATCCTCTACTTCCTTTCGTAACTCCAATTCGTTCGTCGTCATTGTCTGCAATCTATCAGTTATAAAGTCGTTCTTTGCCCGCAACTGGTCTTTTATCATTTCTAATTCTTCTTGTAGAAGCAAGTTCTGTTGCGTCGCGTCCTCGCACTTGAGTGAGAGTTCGCTGTTTTTCTGTCTCAAGTCCGACACTTCGATATTGTACTTAACGTTCTCTTCTTGTAAATCTTTCCATTTCTCTTGCACTTCTTGCTTGTTGGTACTATTGGCGACAATTATTTTCGGCTTCTGTTGTTCTGCCGACTTCAATTCGCCTTGTAATCGTTTTATTTCCAGCACCAGTTTCTTATTTTCCGATTCATAAGCTATTATAAAGTTTTCCTGCTTTTCCAACTCCTTTTGCATGGTCATGATTTTCGGATCGTATTTCGATTTTGCTTCTACTGCCTTTTTGTTCATCTGCGTCAGCTCATCTAATTTCGCTTTGAGTAGGATGTTTTGTTTTTTGAGGGAAAACATTTCCTGTTCGTGTAACATCTGTACGTCTCTCAGTTTGCACTTGTAAGTTTCTATTTCGGCATCTAGTTCCGATTTCATATGCAAAAATCTCTCTCTCTCTTCTTGGTATAGCATCTCCAACATGTCCACACCACTCAGACCTTTCCAATCTCCCCCACCAAAAGAGACTTTCGGTGTTTCTTCGTACTTTATTTGATTTCCTCTGACATTAAAGGAAAAATCGGTTTGGTAAGCTGAAAAATAAAAAATATACTTAATAATAGACTAAGAGTTAAAAGAATGTTTTATCCATGAAAGAAAAACTTACGCTTTAAGGGTTCCTTTCTCATTTTCGAGGTGGTTGGTCTCGTTTTGGGTATTGGCTTGATAGTAGTTTTCGGTTGGACTTTTGGCTTTGGTACGAGAGGTTTCCTCTGCGGTATAAAAGGCGCTGGTTTTTTCGTTTCCACGGTTTTACTCAAATTCTTCGAAAGCTGATCATAACTTCGGGATTTTCCAATGGTGGCTTGGCCCCTTACATAACGATTTTCTGGAGCACTGATAACTCGTTCGGTTTTAAGATGATCGCTGCTTTTTTTGGTTTCCGTGTAAGTCGTGTTGAACCGCAGGGAGTTAAAGTCATTCGCGTCCTCTGAATTATCAAAATCTACACTTTCTTGATAATCCCTTACATTTATGACAGTTTTTTTCTCTTGAAGGACTTCCCCGTGTTCCACCGATTGCTTGAGAGATTTTAGATTCTTAAAACTAAAGTCCTCGTTATCGCCCGATTTTGGACTAGCCTCGTTTTCACTCTTTGATTTTTCCATTTCTCTCTTTTCCTCGTTAGATTTTTCGGCCAATAGTTTTGGAATGGCATCAGCAAAGAGCTCCAGTCTCGGGGTGAGACTGACCGTGTACAGCTCAGTATTGTCACTCACGACTTTTTTAGCTTCGATGGCACAACTTCTGGAACTCACGCTGTTCCTCTTGGAAGAGGCTCTACTGGAATTCCTGCTCGGCGTTCGTCGCATACATTCACCTAAATCAAGTGATAAAACCCTAACATCGGTTCTAAGTTCCTTTTCTTGATTTTCTTTTTTTTCTGGACTCTCTTTTAGCGGGTCGAATTGATCCACGATTAAATTTAACGACGTGGTTTTGGTCAATTCTCTTTTGGGTTCTTTGTCACTTTGCTCTTGTAAAAGCTTCAGAAAATTAGTAAAATCTTCTTGATCTGCAATACTCGAACTGCGGGAAGACAGCTGTTCAACGCTCTCTTTCGTTTTCTTAATCAAGTCATCAAAAAAGTCTTTGTCAACGTCAGTGATCTCTTTTTTCAAATTTTCTTTCCCCTCCTTTGCTTTTTTTTCATCGTTAATATTTTCTGAAATAGAATGTTTTTCTATAGGCTCGTCCACGTCAGAATTACTGGATACCTCGACTATTTGGTCGTCAAATTTTTTCTGTGGGGAATCTAATTTTTTGGCTGCTACTGGAACGAAAAGATTGGCACTTGTTTTTTTCTCGGGTGTTTCACTTATTTTTTCATTCACCTGCCGATCTATCATTTGAAATATATTTGCTTCGAATTCTTTGACCTTAGTCAAGCCCTCTAAGGAAACGTCGTCAGAAATGTCAACAGTTGTAGTTGTGAGCACTTTTTCAAGAACTTCATTGTTATTCTGTTGCACTAATTTCTCAGCTTCTTGTATCAGCTCTTCTACAGACTGTTCATCTGATAAAATTTCGTTAATAGTCTTAGATTTAATATTTTCTGCTATTGGGCTCATGGCTCCAGCTATCTTACTCATTTCTTCTAAAATACTTCCTATTTCATCATCAGTGGCATCTGTGTTGTGCAAAATATTTATGTAAATAGATAAGTATCATTACTATTTTAATTAAATATCATTAAAACTCACTTCCTGATTCCGAATGATACTTGTCGGATGCTACTGCAGATAGTAAATCTTGTAATTTATCATGTTTGTCTTTCTCTTCTGCATTCTGAATGTGAGAAATATGTCTTAAATCTGAAGGTCAAAAATATAAAAATTAATCAAATTACACGCATACCTTGCACATTTTCTCTTTATCTAAAAATTCTTGCATGGAAGAAGTAGCACTACAAGTCAGCACTGGTGATTTGTCCTTTTTTAACACCTCTTTTTTATTACTGTCTTTATCTACTAGTGGAGCTGGCTTCTTCAGCCACCACTGGTCTTTCTTCTGAGCAACTGGGGGTGGATCTGGTTCTTTGGGTGGCTCGAGCATTGGCTTAGGTTTTTCTTTCACATGCACAGAATTATCTCCGATGCTGAAACTAAGGGACGAACCTGGCAAATCCTCCTCAGTCGATATGGTCTAAATTAAAAATAAACAATGATAGATTAGGCATGCAGTTCAATCACTTGTTAAGCAGTAAAAGGAGAAAATAAAAGCAGATAAAAAATTATTTATGCAACAAGGAGAGTAGAAGTAATTTCTTCAAAAAGACTGACACTGTTCCCTCGGATGTTACAGAAGCCAAATAAATCAATCTGAAAGTATGAACCACCTGAGTGCTGAGTGCCAATATGAAAAATAACCAGCAGCAGGTTAATTTCCAGAGCTCTTTATCTCTTTCCCAGCATAATTTAGAAGAATGTAAATAAACAGTTGTGTGTGCAACAACTTACATCATCGAGGTGAGAGAGAAGTCTGCCGTACTCCGACATCCTCTTGCCGTACTTATTATGAAAGTTCCTTTATTGACACTCCGTTATCAGTCTTTTGATCAACTTGTCAAACTGCGGAAGACGAAAAAAAACGCAAGCTATTACGCTCATGTCCCCCTTTTTTTTGCAGATGTCAGGGCGTCGACTTATTTTATGTCGGCAATTTGACAAAGAGTGGCTTTCCTTTTTTCGATTCAATAGTAAAAAGATAAGTAGGATTTACGAATACGTAATACACTAATGAAGCACGTCAGGGCTCAGGCACTGGTGACTGATAGCAGAATGGTTTTACTGATTGTGATATGGTTCCGTGTATTATTGTTGTGTAGTGACGTAGTATTGTTTTTTGTTGTTGTATGGAACTTAGGCATGGAACCAATAAACTTATGCGGTTACAGACGCGATACAAGATAAATAACTCAAGTATTGACATAAGATGCTAACTGCAATATCGGAGTTAGCTTAATTATCGGTTAATTTACTATCAGCGCCACCTCGCGTGGCTGATTTTGAGTTAAAAAGTCCCTTTATACGCTCGGCGGCGCGCATGTCAGTTCGTCTGCTATCGCGTCCAGGCTGTGTCTGGAGTGTCTCCGGAGTGCGGTAAAGTAGTAAATTCGCATCATCATCATCATCATAATTAAATTTTCTCCCCTGCGGTACATCTTGAATCTGCAAAACAATTACATATTGTCGGTGCGCGCGTGGGTGTGCGTATATATACATGAACTCTATTTTCCTCTCCTCCATGAAGCGGAGGAGAGGTCCAGGAGAAGCAGCGCTCTTAGTCTGCTACTACTGCTGAACGCTGTACCCGAGGTGTTGGTGCTTTTGTTGTTGCAAGGAAAAAGAGCGAGGAGCGCTTGGGCGGAAAAGGGTCTGAAGTATTGCTGTAGTCGAGAAAAGTTGCAAGAGAAGCTGGAGGACAAAGCTGGATACAATGGCTGAGTCTGGTGGGCCGATTTTGCACGTCATCGTCGTGGGCTTCCACCATAAGAAAGGGTGTCAGGTATCCAGGACTTTTAAAGATAGCTAAAATGTTATTTTCATGCCTTACGTGATTGTTGAGCAGATCATAGTAAAAATTTCGTATTGAACATTAATTTCAATTTTTTCTAGAGATATTTTTTTTTTTTTTTTAATCAATACCAAATAGATTTATTGATTAATTGCGTCGTTGAACATTACTTTGTTCTTTTATTAGTGTTATAGATTGTATGTGTACACATGAAGTAGTATTACTTTTGTTTTCAATGCGTACCTAAGAGAGTACATTTGTTGATGTAGGTGGAGTATTCTTTTCCTCCACTGGTCCCTGATGCACCAAATGAATGTCCGATTGGGTGGAAGTATTTGCCAACCTTAGCTTTACCAGATGGATCTCATAATTACGACGAAGATACAGTTTATTTTCATTTGCCTAGTCTCAACGATCCTAATCAAACGGTTTATGGAGTCTCATGTTTCAAACAAATACCTGTAGAGGTAAATAAAAAAAAAAACTAATGTTTAAACGAAAAATTCTGTATACATTTTAACGATACTTCTTAAGTTCCGCATCACTGATGACTCACACTTGACACTCCATCTCCAATAAAAATATAAAAACTCATTGTTCATATGTGTATACTTATAATGACTTAATTTTTTTTTTTTGTCTCCATGTGTATAGAAACTAGTGAATCGCACATCAGACATAACAAGGGGAACAGTACAAAAGTCTGTATGCGTTTTGAGCAAGATGCCTCTTTATGGACACATTCAAGTAAAAATGGCTCTGATAACACACGCCTACTTTGATGAAGGAGATTTCAGTAAAGTATCCTTGCTAGAGGAAACATACGTACACTTGAACTCCTGCATGAGCGGTGAAAGCCAAATGCCACCACAAGTTTTTATTGGTAATTATTTTTGTGCCTTGTCAAAATAAAAAAGAAATACAAATACATAATTAATCTGTTACAGGCTTATCAGCTAGAGAATTTATATTACAATTCCGTCATAAAGCTTTGCTGTTGTTCAAACTCTTGCTTCTTGAAAGGAAAGTAGTTTTTTATCAATCACCTGTGCAGCCTTTGTGTTCGGCCATACTCACATTGCTATCGTTGTTTCCTGGCATGATCGAAACTGGATTACAACAGGCTGCTTGCATTAGGTACCATAAATGAATCATTATTCACATTTATTTTTTTTTATTTCGATCTCTTGTTACTTTACCCTTTGTCGTGACATTCAATTTTATTACATCCAAATCGATGCTTCAGGCCGTCAAGACCAATGTCTCCTATACCAAATTTCGAAGAAGACGGGTTCATGCACAATTTTGACTTCAATTCACGTCAAGTAAATACATCAGAATTAAATATACAAAATATAGTATTAGATGCGACACCGAATAACAAGAAACCTAATGGAAATCCGTACTGTCTGAACGACAATAAAGCAGTCGAAACGATGGAAGGCAAGAGTATCAATTTTGAGCTGTCGACTGACGAGTGTTCCGAAGTTTTCTCAGGTAATGAACAAAAAGGTTCGAACGAAACGGTGCACCGAGTACATAGTGTTACCGCGATAAACAATGCGGGCAGTGCCGATGCCGATAACAATTTGCCAAGAGACATGAGCAGTGACGCGCTTACCGAAGCTCGTGTTACCAGTAGCTTGACTCAAATCGCGAATATAGATCCAGAGCTCTGCGGTATGCCTCTTAGTCTTTTTACAAAGGTACAGGATGAATATTTAATTACAGACTCGAGTTTCCTTCTCGTCCACAAAAACAGTAATAATCATGAGATTTTTTTTTTTTCTTTTTTGTTGCAGGGCTATCTGTGCCTGCCATATCTGTCACTGCCATATCTAGATTTGTTAAGCGACGTTAACGTTAGAGGCTACGTTGTAGGAGCGACTAATGTTCTGTTCAAACAAAAGAAACAATTAATCGACGTCTTGGTCGAGGTGGAAAGTGCGCGAATAGAAGCAAACGATCCAGAACTTCGTCGTCTGCTACACCTGACGACTGAGGATCTAAGGTTCGCCGACTATGTGGTTCGTCATGTGTCTGAACCGAAGAAAGACAACTTTTTCGACGGCGTTGGGTGGGAAGGTGGCGACGAGTGGATCCGCACGCAGTTCCGCGTCTATCTGCTCTGCTTGTTGAGGACGTCGCTACAACAGGACGCTCGTCAAACTGACCACTACAACTCAGCTTTTATGAGCGCGTGGCAAGCTACTAACAATTACAAGATGTGGGCTAATTTGAATAACGCCGAGATCAACTGTGTCGAGCCTGGACACCCATTTGCTGGTCAGCTTTCTGTACAGGATATGAAACTGCGACTATCTCAGTAAGTTTACTTTCTTATATTGCTACCTTTTTTCCATACAATGGTTAGATATGTTACTGTTATTATTATTATTATTATTATTATTATTATTATTATTATTATTATTATTATTTTTATTATGTTCAGTACAATGCAAAATACTGAAGGTGGAAGAAAATTTAATCAGGCCATGGCATCAACGGGACGTGCCGTAGCTACCACAGGAAAAGCAGTTGGTAAGAATCAAAAACTTAATCTATTTGTGCTTTTTAAAAACATTTTTTTTTAATAAGCAAAACGATATAAATGTGCTTCTGTATTTGTTGTATGCATAACTTTAGCGTGTGTCGTGTTTTTTTTGTTCGTGAATAAAATGCTATTAGTCTCGCGACTACGAAATTTTGTTCACAACAGGAGGAGCGCTATCGCAGGCGAAAGGCGCCTTCTCAAACTGGTGGAGCACACTAACGACGGTTCAACCCATGGATCCAAGCATGGGTGATCCGACGAAATCGTGTGACAGTCAACCGATGCAGATGGTAACGGACATTTTGCAACAACAGCAAAATGTTCACGCGAACGCGGATAAAACACAGAGTGTTGACCGGCCGTGAGAACAAATAGGTGTACTCGAATTTAAGTAGTAATTTAAGTGTCTAATACGCCAAGTGATAACTTTTAACGAGCGATTACGTTGTAGAAAAAAATGAAGTTTTCCAATTTCCTTTTTTCTGTTGTAAAATAATTCTACGAAAATAATTGAACATCATTTGCCGCTTTCATGAAAAATCGTGTAAACATACATATCTACAAGTTTTTATGAACTCTCAACATTAGTGATAAAAGTGTGCTTGAACCCAATCTATAACAAAAACCCATCAAAGAATGATTTTTTTTTTAGTTCAATTTTTACTTTCTGTAATATACATATATATAAATTTTTTTTTTACTCTTTTTCATAAACTTTTCGTAAACTAACTTTTCATCTTAAAATTGTGGATATTAGTTATTTTGTACTTACGTAAATGTTAGGATGAAATGGATAAGAAGAAAAAAACTAACTAGAGCATCGTAGTCACGCGAAATACTTCACTCAATTTTAATAGACTACGGGTTTAGACATTGAAACAACGTATGTTTAGTTTTGAACACCCTCATTTTGTAGCATGCACTACTTTTTGATAAAAGAGCATAGTAACACTTGTTTTGTACATACAGGTTCAAGTAGTGTTTTAGAAACGGATCCAAATAATGATAAAAACTATGTCTTCAGAAAAAGTTTTATCCATAAGAGGAAATATGTATTTTACATGCAGTTTATATAACGTAAAAACATGTACATACAGTTGTATAAATCATAAGTCTATACTCACGCGGACAATATCAAATAAGATATGACAGCTATTCACGTACGTGGTAAATGTTGGACTCTAAAAAGATTGATTTGCTTTCTTATCCATGGTCTAAACATTTATTTTTTAAGAAAAATTGAATTAAGATGAGTAATAAATTTTATTTCGTGCTGTATTGTACTAATGTGCATTTGCAATCGATTATTGGTACAGACGAAATCGAATTTTTATATCGACTTACAGTGAGATCTACAAATATTATGATTTATAGGACATGATATTTTTTTTAATTGTAAAAATTACAATGAATCATTCCTTGTAACTAATAAGTATTAATGCTGACCAATCATGACACAAATCCAAGATCTATCGTTTTTTTTTTTTTTTAGTTACTTAATTACGTTAGCTGTGTAATAATTTAACGAAGCATACGATGGAATGAGAGAAAGGAGTATTATTTACAATAGGCGCGAGAATCAGGGTAGGGTAGAATGTACAGTAATTTATGTAGAAAATAAATTAAAGAAACAAAATTATTAACTTAAAATATAAAAATGTGTGTGATGCTGTAAAAGATTTGTATAATATAAACACCAGTGAAATGTACAGTCGTGCATTAAAAAAAACTTCTCTGTAGTTTTTTCACGAAAATGAGAGGTTTGTAATTTTTTTTCAAGTTACACGTTAAGAAACATGAAAGTGCATATTGATTTGATCTAAGGGAAAATAATTTATTATGTGATACTTGGCTTTACTTAAGTGTTTATTTTTATTTTTTATTATTTTTTTTTTTTTTCTTATCAAATACGGTGTGTACATGTTGTAAGATTACGTTTCCTTTATTCTTAACTTTTTTGAATACTTTATCACGGAAAATATTTTATTTTAAATGAGTTTCAATCATTTTTTTACATAAACATTGAAATTTAAAAATGAGTGAGAGGTAGTCCGTGTTTGCATCATACTCGGTGAGAACAAAAACAAAACGTTGTTTAACCATTATCAGACGTTACCTTTTGCAGATTTACCTGAATCATTGTTGAATTGAAATGAAAGACTCCGAAATCGTTCAAACATAAGTATTGTTGATACTGTGCATATAAATCGTCTATAAAGAAAGATCCTCTGTTCTCAAAACTTTAGGGAGGAACTTTGCCTAATATCTGTTTCGTAAAAAATGACTTTTTTTATATGTACTGTTGCTTTTCGAACAAATCGCGTTCATATATTGGAAAAACAAACAAAATAAAGAAAACGAACGATCGTTTTTAATCGCACATAATATTATGATGATATAAAAAAAAAGTTATATACATCGTGCGCCCATTATACTGTCCTCTGTATAACCGCTAAGTTCCAATCAGTACAAAAATAAGATCATTTTCTTACGTAATATTCGTCGTTGGTTAATAAATTTTAATGTTGTATCAATGGAATTATTAGTGTAAAAAATTTTAGAAATGCAATGTCGTAAAATTTAACAAAATTTGATAAAAATGTTATTTAGTAATTAGTTGGGGGACATTAACTAAAATATTAACTATATATACAATACGATTGTGAGATTGCGGTGTGACAAATGAAATTGTAAGTACGTATATGCCTGACAATTTCTTAAATTGTTTAAAAAAATAAACTTGATTGATAAAATCAAAAGGAAAAAATCGTTGAATCTTTGAAACATCCTTTTAGTTTTGTAGAGAATTTTTCTATTGAATTACACGCCAATCGTAAAATCATTATTGAAGAAATAGATATCGTGATCCTTATACCCTATATGTCTCGTGTTGTGGTAAGTACATACAAACACATAAATATTACTGAAGATTTGTTTTATTTTATAAGGAAATACATAATACAGCAATGGATGATGTTAGCGAACAGGTAAAAGTCAGAATTTAAGAGATCGGGTGCATGACATCATTCCTTCCAGATTGAAGGTCATCCGGCATTTGCATATTTGAATAAGAAGCATTGATTGTAACATTGACGGGCTTCGTGAGTTGTACGTATTTTTGTTACGTTTCATAAAAAATGCATTCAATGTACAAAAAATAATTATTTTAGGAGTGACTTAACGTAGACCAGTCTTACTTACATTAACTTTTTTTTAATTTCCTATCATAAATAATAATAATAATAATAATAATAATAATGAACAAACTTGTTAAAAATGTATTAAAATCACTTTTGTTTTTCTCATGCATTCAGTTGAAATAGTTTTTCGAAAAGTAGGAAGTTAAATCTAAAAGATATGAATTAACACGAAGCTCCGGAAATTTCATTGCACCCATCAACGTATGGTTTTTCGTGTAATTATCCATAAATGTAAATACGTATGATGTAATTGTTCACGCTTTTCCGTTTGTTCCAAAGTTTGTTTATTTGATATACGATATACTGCAAGTCCTTATTTCTCTCTCTTCTCACGTTCTCACTCTTTTGTCTTCTCCCTATAATGATGAAAAAGGAAATAAGAAAAAAGGAACATAAAAAACTTGGTCGGTAATACAGTATACTTAGAAGTTTAAGTTAGTTTATTGGCTTTGTATTTTTTTTACATATGCCAGGTAGGTATACTTAGAACTTAGAAACTTACGGAAGCTCGGTCACGACATCTTTAGATACACAAAAACGCAGAAGCGCTTAGCGCTCACAAAAACAAGTACTTATGATTGAGTGCACGAAAGCGCGCACACAACAAGTTGGAAAGCAGACAGCTTATAATTAGGTTGAGTGCTCCAAGGTGGATAATTGAACAAACCTATTGTTACATCGTTACTTGGGAAAGAGATTTGTTATATACATATATATGTAAACTTTATACATATATTTACTTTGGATTTTATCATTCTGGTAAAGAGATCACGGTGTAACATATCTGAAGTTATGTGTAGTAATTATCGTAATCACTACTAAGTAGTGCCATATGGTCGATTTTATTAAACCAGACAAGTAGAATCTCTATACTTTTCAGGTAAAAGATAAATTGTACACTTGCCGCAAATAGCACAGACAGAGTCAACTTTATATTTCATATTTATACAATTAGTTGCGGTTGGTTTATAATTGATTACATGGCTCTACTGAAAGTAGCAATAATTATTTGAATCAGCGCCATCTAGCGGTCGTCATTTTTTCACGAAAAGTGGCTCCTAAAATTCTAAATCAGAGCTTTAGGGCCTAGAGCAATTTGATCAATTATACATCAGCCGCAACTAATTTTATAAATATAATATAAAAAGTTGACACTGTCTGTGCTATTTGCGGCAAGTTTAAAATTGGTTTTTTACTCGAAAATCTACCTTCAAAAGTATAAATATGTAGGAGGTCGATTTTTGGGCTTCCGTAGAAACTAGATAATTTTCCAGCTGTCTTGTGCTGTCCTCGCGCGCGCCCTAGCCTCTAAGTAGCATTTTGTATTCGTAATGAATTCGGAAGTGGATCACATTAATCGGTGTGCATCGGTAATATGAAAATTCTTGTGTCATGTAATAACATGCGTGTAAAATATATTTCGTCTTGCCACCGACAATGAATTTCGATAATTTGCTATCTCTCTGACTGAAATAATAAAGGAACTACTAAGGGTAGGTAAATGCATACGTTTTTCTGTGTGAGTGTAGGTACATGCACATTGTATATGGATGTGCTGTATAGTAATATACATGTGACACATAAAGTGACGAGACGAGGTGACGACGACTTCCGTTTCCGTTTTTCCGACATATACAGCATATAACTTTCAAGCTTAAGCATGTAAATATATACATATATATAGGTACCCCTACATTATATACTTTCAGTTACGTTACAAGAGCTACCGCATCTGCTATTTACATAAATATTAGTAACACTCGCTCTAATCTGCCTTTCATTCACAATTCCCCCCTGCACCGCAAACCTCATCATTGGAGTCCTCACAATCTTCACCGCCCGTATACCTACACTTCATTATCGATAGGTACATCTTCGCGAAGTATGAAAAGTGTCTCTCTCTTCAAGATATAGGTATTTTGGTAAGGCGTTTCATTAAAGTCAAGTGTCAAAGGTCACGGTCTCAAAGTCCTCGAGGGATCAATGAAAAACCGTCGAAATTCGAACGGTCTTATAAGTAAGTATAGGTATTTTTCTTTAGTAAAGAAATTAGAAAATGCGAGAGAAAGAGAGGGTGACGTGTGTCGCGGATTACTTAGTCGACCGCTCGAGACGGCACGCTTAAGAAAAAAAAAATTTAGTTTTCGAACCGTGCCCCGTTTCAAGTGAATAACTATTAATCTTATCGCTCTTGGACAATTTTCTATTGAAAAGAGAACATTTTAGTAAGTAGCTGTCCGCCGACTTTAAACTATCTTCCTCCATCATCTTAATCGGGTTCGTTCAATTGAACGTTTCACATCGACTCTGCCTGTGTGCGTGTTTGTCGTCTAGTCTAGTCAAGTCAAGTCAAACTGTCGCCTAACCTCAAAATTCAGAGCGTCGCCGTTTAATTTTTTTTTCTCTCACTTCGCGAGACCAAGTGTTAGTATAGGTGTATAGTTGCGCAGCACTTCAGTTGTAACGAAAAGGTCGAGTGGTTGAAAGCTAGGGAGCAACCTGGGGAAGAGAGAGCCCTGGAGACGAGAGATATTGTGCATTTCGGAAGAGGAGGTCGGTACAAGGGACTCTACTGCTGCGCCTGTGTTTTTCCTGCACACACACAACAGGTACCCTCACCGTCGTTTCGTTAACTCTCGTACGCTCGACCGTTCGAGTTGTACACACACACGTAGCCATGATTATTGCCAGGCCGAACGAAGTGTGCCGAGTTTTCGACAACTTCGTTTTAACTTGATTCCGCTGTACATTTGCGTCAACTTTTTTCCCCCTGTCTTTTCTTTTCTTTTTTCCTTCTTACCGCCCTTTCTTTTGGTAGTTGTCCCTTAAAAAAACTTGAAATTTTCGTGCGATGACTGCCTAAAGGCCGCTCAGTGGGTTTCCATTCATATTTAAATGACCGTGATTACGATTGAGAGACAGCCATTGTAAGTGCATGCGTCAAGATTCGACTTTTTGTCACAGAGATTTTAATCAGGATTTCGTGTCTTCTTCTCTGATTTCAGTTTGAATCTGAGTGAATCTTGACTGCGGGGCGAGTACCCACAGTAAAATTGATACTGCTGCCCAAAATTAGATACTTAGATACCTGGAGTGCGATTTGCTGTCCGTTGGAAGATGATGGACACATCTGGTCTACTGGTCGTTAGTGCCTGTCGACCAAGAGACTTTGCCACGGGGAATCGTGTTTTGTGATTTATTGAGAACAAACTCAAACACTTTGTGTTGTTGAATCAAGTGCCAAGAGTGCAGATGGGCATACAGGGATGACTGACAATTGTTGGAATTCAGGTGGTGGTGAGTTGATAGAGTTTTTTTCCTTATGTCAATTGTGCATACTAGATAAATTGTTGCAACTGGCAGAGAAAATTAAAGCTTCTGGTACTCTGTTGAGTTTAAAAAATTTTTTTTGGTGTAGACAAGTGTGTACTTGTTTCTTTTGTAAATTAGTATAAAACGATATATGATCGCAAGCAATCTGGAAAAAAATATCTAGTCCAGTTTCTGAAGTCATCATTTTGTGATAATCACACTTTAATAGCACATACAGTGTACATGGACGATTATGAAACAAATGAGACATATTTGATAATTAATTTAAAATATTTTCACTTGATAATGTTTTTTTTTTTTTTTTTTAATAATCTAGAAGCTTTGAATTTTTTTTCTGTAGACATTTTTAATTGAAAGTTAAATGTTGAACGATTGTTTTACAGTTTGAGTAAATGGGCAATAAATAGAAAATAACAAGCTTATCAAGACAGTCAATTGTTAGAAGTAAGGTTTTTTAATGCATTTATTTAAAAATATTAATAGATTCACGTCATCGACTATTGATAAATAACATTCAACGCAAGTGCAACAGTCATCTTGAAATTTTTCAGACCGTTTAAAATATTTACAGACATGAATCGTGTATCTGCGAAAAACATCCTATTAGTCATTACCGCAGTATCACGAGGGGGAAAAAAAAAAAAAAAAAAAAAATTGTACAAAAATTGCCACGATCCGGCTTATCCATCGCAAAATCATCAGCACCTATATCTCTCGAGATCTCTCACCGGGGGAAAGGATAAAAAAAGAAAGGGGTCTCTCCTCGTCGAGAGTCCATCCACCGCGTGTACTTACACTCAAGAAAAGAGAGTCCCGTGTGTATATAACATACACACGAAAATTCTCTGAGGTCGCATTATTTCCGATCTATTTATAAAAGTCCACGATTCTATTCGATGCTCATGTATATACCATTACGCTCTCTTCCTCCCTTCTGTTCTTCGACGCCTCTACATAATGATACTTGCGAGGGAAAAAAAAGAACGAAATGCGCTCGCACGGATATATTGCCCTTGGATGCGTAATAACCACGAAGCTGGTCAATTGTTGAAGTTTGAAAATGTGCATCAGCAGCAGGCAACGCCTAATGTATGCCTACATACATACATATATATATATATATATGTATACGTGTGCAGTGCGTTGTGCCTCTCCTGCTGCTGTTGGCGT